GGGGGCACATGTTTTAGGTCTCCTCCTCCGCCATGTTTTAGGTCACCCAGGTGAGGGAAGCCCCACATTCCCACACTTTCTTGCTATGCAGGAGTCCCTGCACAGCTGAAAACATGTCACCTGCTGCTATGTCAGGACTAAGGTATGGCGGCAAAGTACCATACCAAAGTACAATGAGAATGCTAACTTAACACCCTGAAAAAATAGCCTATCATTTTGGCAATTACTATCAATAGATATAAAAAAAACAGTCCAAATGACCCAAATAACTGACCGCCACAACTTTCAAACCCATAAAAATTATTACCTAACAGAAAGCAATGTCCCTCAGATATCATCCAACAAATTAAGTGTCCTTAATCACCCCGCGTCTCGGGGTTGTCACAAAGCCCCAGGCCCTGACAACTTTACTTATATGTACTTCAAAAACTTTCCTTCCAGGTATGATGGAAATGTACAATGATTTTCTGAAATGTAAACTAATCCTTACCCCCATCCTTATGCTACATAACCTTCAGGCAAATCAGCAACAGCACTAGACAGGCAATTTTGTTCTAACTGATATTATTAATAAGCAAAAGAGTAAGGCCTTACCATTGAGCCTTGATGTGGAAAGGCATTTGATCACCTCAGTTGGCCCTAAATTATACCAACCCTACAACACATAGGGATAAGGGAACCATATCTTCTAACAAAAACAATCTTCTTCACCTTCAGGTAAACTTTCACATTTGACTGGCACCTGTCAAGGTTGTGCCTTGTACCTTCTGCTTTTTGCAAATTGTACTGAACCTGAAGATACCTATATCCACAACAATTGGAACATTAAAGAAATCCCAAATCTTTTTTGGCTGAATTGTTTCTCAGAACATTTTAAGGAAACTGCAAAAAGAGCTGTTTATTGTTATTTGCCATACAAAGAGCATTGGCTCTCAAGAACTTTAATGTGTACCCTGAGGGAGCAGGGTGGCTTCAGAATTCTCAGTCTAATCAAATACTATTTGTCCTCACATTTCAGATACATTTCTTCCTAGATGACACTCCTCTTCTTTAACATGTGGACTGTAAGATACTCACCGCACCTCCGGTCCGTACGCGGCACAGGGAGTGACTCACTCCGGAGACGTCAGCTGGTTCCTCCGCCCTCAGCGGCTTGAGCCGCGAAATCTCAATTGGCCGGCGTTCGTGCAATGAGGAACACGCCGGCCGGTCACTCCTCAGCTCCAACCTGAATCCCACTGGAACCTGTGACTAATGAAGGTCACACTAGCAGCCCCCGCGGCTACTGACTTCCGGACACTCGTCCCCTCTGTCCACTCTACCCACCTTGGACTAGCAAATTGGCAGCAGCACCAGTACAGCAGCAGCAACCACCAAACCATTACAGCTTGTAACACTTGATGAACTGTGTACACACCCATTTCTACCTGGGCGCTGCTGTTGCTACTAGTGATTGAACTTCTAACTGAACTATGTACACTGCTGTTGATACTAGTGATTGAACTTCTAACTGAACTATGTGCACTGCTGTTGCTACTAGTGATTGACTCCTAAACTGAACTGAGTAAACTGCTGTGGCCACAGCCACCGAACTGCCACTTTGAACCTCCTGTTGCCATTAGCAACAACAAGTGAAAAGCTGATAGGCCTTTGCACTGTTTTTTCTATTCTGCTTCACGTCACTTCCCTTAGAATCAATTCTAAGGGAAGTGACGTGAAGCAGAATAGAAAAAACAGTGCAAAAATTAGAAGAAAAAAGTAGGAAAAAATGTTTAAAAAGGTGAATAAATGATAAATCTAAAAAAAAATCAATAAAGATTTCCAAAAAAAGAAGGATCACTGAATAAGGAAAAAGAAAAAAATAAAGATCATTGAAAAAAGAAAAAATAAAGATCATTGAAAAAAGAAAACGAGAAATAAAAAAAAGAAATAAGCAATTGGGCGGAGCTAGCAGTGACAGCTAGCTCTACACAACTGTTTCCTATTGACCTGCAAGAGTCTCCGCCCAGCTGTCAGTTGCGAGGCTTTCTTTCCAATGGCCAGCCGATTGGCCCACTTCGGTTTTCACTTTGGCTCAGTCGAGTGGAAGCATATGCCTTCGGCTAGGCTGAGCCGCTCGGCCAGCTTTGGGAGCTGTACGAGCTATAGTAGATAGCCTGTACAGCAGCCCTTCGGTTCGACTGACAGAGCTACGGCTGATCCTTCGGCTAGCTTTGTGAATAACCCTCTTAATCTCCTACATTTAAAAAATAATAATTAAGAAATAATTAATAACACTGCACAACCAGATCATCCTAAACATCTATACATGAAAAGCAGAGAAACTCTCCTGGGACGTGAACTACCACTGGAAACTTGGAAAATAACAGGATAGAGTGAAAAAAAGCTCTATATGCACAACATAGAAAGAAAATGCATACAAATTATATTCCAGTGGTACCACTTCCCAGAAGCACTGAGCTGTATTTACTTAAATATGACTGGCAGGTGATGACGACTCGTAAGGGTTCTTTACCACACTTCTAGTCTGCCCCAAATTTACCCCATTTTGCAGGAAGGTGAATGACCTGCAGTTTTGAGTAATGGTAAAAAATACACCCCTAGAACTGGTAATGCACTTATTGGGCTATCTGATCCAAGGCCTAACATGCCCTTGTCTCCCTAAGACACCAGAAGAATCTATGAGAGAATGTAAATGTCAAACAAAGCTGATCTTGAATGAAATATTATATAGTTGTGCTGCATCCACTTGATAGAAGCACCATCTATCACTTTCAAAGAGAGACTCAACATTATATTTTCCTACGTTCTTCACTCACGTCTCCCGGTATGACATTGTCAACTTTTTCTACCGCTATTGATTTCTCTGTAATTGTTAAAAAGCAATAAACAATTTAAAAGAAACAAAAATACATACCTTAGCTAATATTGTGACAAAATGAGCTCTTGACTTTTCAAAGTCCAAAGATGCCCCATTTTTAATACGAAGAACTCCACTATGACGATCTACTGTGAATTTGGAACTGTGTAAGTTCTGCAAAAATAAAATAGTGTCACAAAATATTTGTTACATAGTAAGCAAGTTGAAAAAAAGACAAATGTCCATAAAGTTCAACCAAAAGACAAAAAATGATCAAATAAAAAACACCTTGCATCCATAGATCCCTAATCAGAAGTTAATCAAGATGAATTTCTGAAACAAGGCCAACAGGCAAACAAATTGTATATGCTCTGGATCAACTGTCTACAGTGTTATTTCTTTTAAATAGTATTAGCATTAATATTTTGCACAATTAGAAACACATTCAGCCCTTTTGTGAAACAATCTACTCGGGTGATTAGAACTAACCGTTCAGCTACTGTTTTGCTTAGGGTACTTTTACATAAACACTTTAAATACCTTTGCTCAAAATAACCTGGTGTGTCTCAGACTCATTTAAGCAGTTCTAATCTTCCGTGGTGCAATCAGCTTAATTGCTAATAGTCAATACAATTAAATGAAAAATAAGCTGGCATGGTTTAGTACTTTGCAAATTGACATTCGCACACAGATAGCACAATGAATAAACTATATCAGTGATAAAAAAGTTAATTATCAGGAAGCCATGTTACTTGCTATTATCTAAGGCCATCAAACGACAAAAAAAAAAACTACAGAAAAAATTAAACTAGGATATTTTTTTCTCAAAAGAAAAAAGCATTTTTGCCTTCCGAAAAAGTCTAGGTGGAGGATTTCCCTTAGAGAGATAAGAATGTCTACTATATTTCATAAGGTTTCAAAATAATAGCAACACATCTTTTAATTTTGTATTTAGATTTTATTATTTAAAACAGCCAAAACTTTTTTTTGTTTTGGATAGAGTAGGGAATGCTTAAAACAACTGTTAGTTTTTATTACTAGAAAACAAAGGAAGAAGCGCTACTACCCTGCATGTAAGGTGATAAACAATTGGAATTGCATGCATTGCATAAAAATCATGTGTGAAAAGAAATGACTCACTGTAAGATGGGGGTGATGGGTGAGTCAGTGATTGCTGATGAAGGCAGAGATCTGCTCAGAGAACTAAGCACGGGGAGAGTAGCCGTTGGCTGGGGACGGCGTCAGGCTGCCACAGCTGTGGTTGTGTTAGGTGCTGGATATGACTGTCAAGTACTATGAGGACTCAGCTGGCCAGGCTGAGCCCTGGCGGCTGTATGTGAAGAACGTCAGGGAAGCCGCTCTGCTGCGGTAGCTGCGCTGTCAGATGGGCAGTGGGTGACTGGTGTCCGTTTAAGGAGCAGGTACGGCTCTGAGTGGTTGTGGGGTACAGTCTCGCTGGATGTTGGGCGGCTACGCATTTCGAGGCAAAGCCTCTTTTTCAAGCCAAAAAGGTGAAAGCAAGAACGGGCGGGAGTTGGAGAGAATTATTTAAAAGTGACAGGTGGGCGGGACAGAGGGGGCGTGTACAAGTTCTATTGCTGGAGGCTTGGAGGGGGCAAGTTTTAAGCTTGTGAAATACAATGATCAAGCTGTATATTCTGAAGATGAGTATAACTGGCCATTTCAACAATTAAAACTTAACTTTTAATGGAATAACTAATAAAATTAAATAATAGAAAAATTAAGCCTCGAAACGCGTAGCTGGTGAGACTTTACCCCACAACCACTCAGTGCCATACGCGCTCCTTAAACGAACACCGGTCACCCACTGCCCATCTGACAGTGCAGCTACTGCAGCAGAGCGGCTTCCCCGACTGGCCAGCTGAGTCCTCATAGTCAGAGGCGGCTCTCTAATTAGGCAAATTAGGCGGTCGC